GTCTGTGGCTGAGTGATTAGAGCAGTCATCCTCAATGCAAGAGTTGGGGGTTCGAATCCACCAGCAGTCACATGCCGAAGTGTCCCTGGGCAAGACACTGAACCCCTCATAGCCTCTGATGTGTGTCCCATCAGTGTATGAATGTGATCTAAAGCACTGATTAGTCTCATTAGAATGATTTGTTCAATTAGCTTTGTAGAGATGTAGAGTGCTGTATGAATGGGTAAATGAGGACACAGATTGTAGTGTAAAAGTGCTTTGAGTATCTTGAAATAAGATAGAAAGGCACTAAATAAGTACAGTCCATTTACATCCTGGATAGAGAGGAACGATGGTTTGAGAGAGGAGTAAAGGAGGCCATCTTTGTGAAAAGAAACCATCCATCATTAAACAGGGGTGGAGGCCTACGTGTTCAACTGTCCCCCTCTTACAATGCTGTTATTGCTAGTATCACTCAGCCCCCTGTGAATAGCAAACAGCCATCAGTGTGCTAATGATCCATTGATAGGCTGATGGTCCTTCTTGATTATATGAGCAGCTGGTTTGGCAGTCAGCGTCAAACTGGTTGATCCACTCTGAGAAGGTGCTATTTATAAGACTGAGCTGAATACAGCACCTCAGACTGAGGAAGTCTTTTGGATGAAAGACAAAACGTTTCTACAATTTCTTTTTTTTTTTTTTTGAATGTCCAGAGGACCAGATTTAACTTTTTAGATTTGACTCTGATGATGTGGAACAAAACTGTATTCTCAAGGTCCCAGTTACACTGAAAAATAGCAAAAATATAAAGTATAAATAAGAAACAGTATACAAGGATCTAAGATATATTCTAAACAATAATAATACAATATAAAATGGTATATTAAACAGCAGCCTTAACATGAGTCTGTTGTGAGCAGATAGGTATGAAGACAACAGCTTATAGGTTAGAAATCAGCAGCATGGATAATCAGCAGCACAGATAAAGTGACAAATCTCCATTTAAAGTGGCATTACAGTGATTTTCCTGGTTAGAGATTCATGAGTCTAACAGTCTCAGGGTAGAAGCTGTTCCTCAGTCTAGTGGTTCTACACTTAATGCTTCGCAACCTCCTGCCTGAGGGGAGCGGGGCAAAAAGTGTGCGTGTGCTGGGTGAGTGGGGTCCTTCATGATGCAGGTGGCCCTCTTCCTGCATCTGGAGGTGTAAATATCTGTGATGGTGGGGAGACTGACTCCAACACTTCTGTGCAGCCTTCACCACTCTCTGCAAAGCTTTTCTTTCTGCAGCTGTGCAGCCTCCATGCCACACGTTGATGCTGGAGCACAGGATGCTCTTCACTGCACACCTGTAGAAGGAGGTGAGGACTGAGCTTCCCAGTCCAGTTTGTCTCAGCCGCCTGAGGAAGTAGAGTCTCTGATGAGCTTTCTTGATCAGGCTTGTAGTGTTGTTGCCCCAGCTGAGGTTTCCATTCAGGTGCACACCTAACTACCTGTAAATGGAGACCACTTCCACCGCAGATCCTCCTATGTTCAGGGGGGTTGGGATAGATGTGTTTGCTCCTTCTGTAATCCACAATCGTCTCCTTCATCTTCTTCACATTGATGTGAAGGTTGTTCTTCCTGCACTAGCTCTCCAGGTATTCCACCTTCTGCCTGTAGCTGGACTCATCATTGTTTGTGATGCATCCAGTCAATGCTGTATCATTTGCAAACTTTACAATATGACAGCCTGGATGGGTAGCTGCACAATCATACATGAGCAGAGTGAACAGGAGAGGGCTCAACACACATTTCTGAGGATAGCAGTGCTGAGGGTTATGGTGGAGGAGGAGCTGTGGATCTTCACGGACTGCAGCCTGTTGCTTAAGAATTCTAGGACACAGTTGCAAATGGAGGGACTTAGTCCTAGTGTGAGTAGTTTGTCCATCAGGGTCTGGGGAATCATGGTGTTGAAGGCAGATGTGGAGTCACAAAGAGCATACGGACGTAGGAGTCCTTCTGCTCCAGGTGGGTGAGAGCAGTGTGGACCACAGAGGAGATGGCATCTTCTGTTGATCGATTCTTGTGGTATGCATACTGATGAGGGTCATGATCAGTCTTTCAAAGCAGTTAGTGACTATCGGGGTGAGGGCCACTGGCCGATAGTCATTCATTCTAGTCACTGCAGAGCTCTCAGGAACTGGGATGATGGTGGCGGTCTTCAGGCAGGTGGGAACTGTTGCCAGGATGAGGGAGGAGTTAAATATGTTGTCCAGCACCTAGCAGAACTGATCGGCACAGTTTTTCAGTACCTTCCCTGGGATTTTGTTTGGGCCAGTTGCTTTATTAGGATTAATCCTCCTGAAGGTCCTCCTTTCTTCTGCTGAGGTCATGCTGAGAAACTTCTCTTCATATGGTGATGTGAGTCTGGTGATGGGTGGTCTATTTGGGTCTTCAAAGTGGACATATAACCTGTTAAAAGCATCAGGCAGTGATGGGTCCCTAGGGCATTGTGCACCTCTTCTTTTATAGTCTGTGATGTACTTAATGCCCCTCCACATGCTCCTTGGGTCTTGTGAGGAGAGATGTCCCTGGATCTTCCTTGCTTAAGTGGCTTTGGCCCACTTAATACCATCCTTGCCCTCCTCAGTTCCAGTGAATCGCCAGACCTGAAGACAGCATCCCTGGCTTTCAGCAGGGTACGCACTTCTGCGTTCAGCCAGGGTTTCTGATTCGAGTAGGACATCACAGTCCTGGTGGTGGTGACAACAGGACAAACATTAAAACAAGCAGGGCACAAGCTAAAAGCTATGAATAAATAACTGTTTTTAAACTGAAAACGGAAAACTAGTAGCTAAAAGCCAAAACCAGCAAAATGAACTCTAAAAGGTAAAATTAGTAAAACAGTAGCTAAAAAATTGCAACAGTAAGTTGCTGAAATTTAAAGTAAGCAAAACAGTAGTGAAAAACTAAAACTGGCATTGGAGTACCACTAGTAGTTAAAGGCTAAAATTTACATAACAGTGCTTAAAACTAAAAGTATCAAAGCTATGGGAAAATGCTAAACATAGCAAAACAGCAGCTAAAAGGTAAATGAAGTGTAAAATTTGTTTATGAAAGAACTGAAGAGATCCTAATATATTACCATATATTTCTATGTGGATTTTTAAAAACTAAAGTTAAATGATTTAAAAAGTATTAAAATTACTAAATCCATCTATCCATCCATTATTTTCCCTCTTTTTCCTTTTCAGGTTGCAGGGAGCACTGGTGTCTATATCCAGCAGTCACTGTGCGAGCGGTGGGGGGCACCCTGGACAGGTCTCCAGTCCATCACATGGACATAAAGAGATAAATGAGAGAGAGAAAAAAATCACTCTCTCACTCACACCTAGGGACAATTTAGATGGTCGAGCTGAATATTTTGAAATATGAATGATTAAAATAGCGCAAAGCCATGCAGAAGGGGTTTGAAGTAGAGTAAAAGCTGAGTCACCATTTATCAGAGTCAGAGTCAGAGTCAGAGTCAGAGTTTCTTTATTGTCATTCGCACCTCATGTGGTACATGTGGTGGAGCGAAATTATGTACATAGGGTCCCAGTTACATCCAACAATAAAATGTATAAGAAAAACAGTAACATCTAAGATATGAACTAAGAAAAACATCAACTAAATATACACTAAGCACTCATAACATAAAACATTGAACATCAGCACAAACATGAACATGAGTCTGTGAGCAGATGTGCACGCATGAACACATCAACATTGAAACAGACATGTATTAAAATATTTGACTCTAAATGGGAACCCAGAAGTTGAAGCCATTACAGTAGTCTTGGTACATTTGTGCCCTACATGTAAATAAACAGGAATTTGTTCTTGACAAAATTAAAATAAATACAAATTTTGGTCTTTTTATAGGTGTAGACTGTTGTTGATTCATGTAGTTCTTACCTTGCTGCTGTATATTCAGATATCAAGTTTTCTAATGCATTTAGCTGTAATTAGTCATTACATGCTTAAAAGAAAGCTCATGTAACATCATTAGTGCATGTGTGGGGAGGAGGTTGGATTTAAAGCCTCACATTGCTGGTGCTCAGACTCGTGTCCCAAAAATACAACATTGCAGCTTGGGTCCTCCTGGGTTTAATTCCCAACCAGAGAAAACAGGGACATTTCGTTTAGGATGCAGCACAGTGGCTCAGTTGATAGAGCTGCTGCCTCTCAGTGAGAAGGTAACTGGTTAAAATTCCAACCAGGGGATTTCTGGATGGAATTTGCACGTTCACTCCGTGCATGCGTGGGTTTTCTCCAGGTACTCCGGTTTCCTCCCACAGACCAAAAACATGCATGTTAGGCTGATTGGTAACTCTAAATTGTCCCTAGGTTGTCAGGGTTTCAGACAGGTCAGGGCAGGAGTGAACCCAGTTGAGCAGGGAAAGAGTCAGGACTCAAGGATTACAAAAATAAATACTTTTTAATGATAAATCAAAGAGGCTGATGTGGCAGCAACTCACAAAAACAGGGAACGAGGAACAGATCAGACTGGCAGGACAGGACAATATCCAACGATGACGAGACAAAGGACAAGACTCACTGACAGGCTTAAATACACAGACAAGACAAGACGTGATCACAAACAGCTGAGAACAGAAAGAGAAATCAATCAGGATTAATGACACAAGGGTGCACAGACAGAGAAGACCCACAAAATGGTGCCATCCGTATATAGGTGAGAGAGAGAGTGGATGGTTGTTTGTCTCATTTGTCACTATGTGTTCCTGTGATGGACTGAGACCTGTCCAGGGTGTCCACTGCCTCTCACACAGTGACTGCTGGATATGGGCACCAGTGACCCTGTGACCCAAAAAGGAAGAAGCAGGTAAAGATGATGGATGGATGGATTATAATACATGTTTATGACATTCATTCAACAGGATTATTAGCAAAAATTTAATCTCAGCATAATGTGTCTGTGTCCTAAAAATAATATGAATAAAGTGTAGGACAGAACACTCTGATTGGGCGATGAACCAACCGATGTCAGACAAGTAGGATGTATCAGTTCGGCGTCCTGGAATTGGACCCTCGTCCAGTTGGATGTTTCCATGAACTAGGGAAGAAGAGAGTCGCAGCAGACTGAACGACCAACAGTAGAACAACAACCCGCCAACCATCCTGCTGCTGTCAGACACAAGAAAAAGAAGATTTTGATTTTTAATAAAACTTTATTTACACAATAAGTTAACACAACAGTATTAAAAAAAGGTGAGCAGGACAAGCTTAAAATAAAATATTTACATGAGGAGCTTGTTGTATTTTAGTTCTCCCTGATCAGAAATGGTGCATAAAACTTTCTTAAATCCACAGTTTCACAAAGTTCTCCAGGTGTCCAGTGTCTCTGTGGAAGCAAAACTCCAAAACTCCAGTCTGGCCTTGACGTTGCACTTCCACAGAGTCACGGCATCAAGTTGGGTCCAGCCTGCAGTCTGTCCCTGCGAGACAAGTAAACAGACAGTTTTGCTTAGGCCACTAAAAAGTTTCAAGTTTGGGATTTAAACTTAGTGGCTTTGCTGTGATGTACTCCATTGATAAAAACTGATTTTGGTGAAAAGAAGAAGAAGAGCACCACAACTATTATATATATATATATATATTAGGGATGGGGCAGATCCGGTATTGGTATCGGCCTCTGATACCAGCATAATTTACGTATCTGATTTTTCCGATCCAACCTGCAGAGATTTTCGATCCATGATACATGTTGGCTTCAAACTATGGAATGGATTTCCTGAACGGAGGCGTGTTTCATGTAGGGGAACACCACCTCAGAAAAAGAACACCACCTCTGAAACAGTTCATCTCAGCTCAAACAGAAAAAGAGTTCACCTCATCTCAAACAAACATCATTCATGTGTTTTTGTGTTTGAAACTGTAAAATAAGATTCATCTATTCCCTTGGGAACAATCAGACATTGTTTTGCAGGTGTTCAACTCAGCTCACAAACTCCTTAGTTGACATTAATGTGAATGTATTTTTTTTAAAAACTGTCACTGTTTTAACCTCTGCTAATATGAACTCATTTCACATGAAACGGACAGATTGTTTTAATGAGTTTTGGTTCAACAGACCTCGAAGCTTAGGAACATCCGAACTCGCTACTTTGATATCTTCCTTTATCAAAAAGGAGTATTACTCCCAGGATGGGTTCCCATGAAGATAACACATTTTAAAGAACCCTTTGTTAATGACATTTTCCTTTCAGGAGATGAACAGCGACACCTTTTAATGAATATTGCATGTTAGTGATTCTGTTTTATTTCATACCTGAATGTTTATTCATGAAAATGTGTGTTTTAAGTAATCTCTCTTTAAGATAATCATTTGTCTTATTTTTCTCTTTTAAAAGAAGAGTGACTTTTTAAGGCAGAGAGAAAAGGACTATATTTATTTAATAGGCCTTTACAAAAACATGACAAAGAGTTAGGATCACCTCTTCCGAGAGTTGGACCTTCACCAATCTGTAACACACAGACAGTTAAGTTGTTTCACTTCTTCTTTACTTCTCCACAAGCACATCTCCTTCTCAACTTCTGCTACACACTGACGGAGGCTTCGTCTCACGAAGACTTCACTTGAGCTCGGAACTGGGAGAGAAAAACTCTGGGCCTTTCTGCACAGAGACCAAACAAAAGATACAGAAGAAACCCTGCAGAACCAGAAGCAGAACCTGGCATTAACCTGAGATTTGTTACCAGAACCATCACACCACAGAGGAGTGGAAAAATCCCAGCTGACTCCCATATGGACCCTCGTCCCTCTAAGATGACAGGTGAACTTTGAGGAAAAATCAGCCTCTCAGTCACCAGAACATCTGGCCTGGTACCATTTTTAAGCAGCTGTTGGACCATTCCTGACCATTTCATTCTGGTAGGACAAGAGAACTTTAATGCCTTTCTGGTGATCATACGTCACAATAATCTTATCAGACAAACTACAGCTCACTTTAGACACAATTTTAACTACTTCACAAACAGAACCAGTCCAAAATCTGCCTTTTTAGTTTCACTAATTTGAATAATCAATTAGACCTTTGATGCAAAGCTATTTGTTATTCATTTGTTTGTTATGCATAATTTTCATCACATATCCATTCATCCATTATCTTTACCCGTTTATTCCATTTTGGGTCACGGGGGTCGTCTGTGCCCATGTCCAGCAATCACTGTGCGAGGGGCGGGGTACACCCTGGACGGGTCGCAAGTCCATCACAGGGACACATAGAGACAAACGAGACAAACAACCATTCACTCTCTCACTCACACCTAGGGACAATTTAGAGTTACCAATCAGCCTAACATGCATGTTTTTGGTCTGTGGGAGGAAACCAGAGCACCCGGAGAAAACCCACACATGCACGGAGAGAACATGCAAACTCCACCCAGAAAGGCCCCTGGACCGGGGTTTGAACCAGGGACCTGCTCGCTGAGAGGCAGCAGCTCTACCAGTTGCACCTCCGTGCTGCCTAATCTTCATCACATACATCACAGATTATTATTTTTATAATAATATACATAAAATCAACCGAATTTGTGATTATTTTGGCATATCTGTGTGTATTAACTGATTTGATGCCCTTTAAACACGAGAAAGAACTCACGTTTCAGTTTACATTTAATTTGGGGTTAGAGACTGATTTTTCCTCTAAAAGAGAGGTGGTGCCCACACAACGAGGTTATTTGCATAATAAATGCATATCTTATGAGCTTAACTCATAACTGATCATTTACAATATATATCCAGCCCCGTATCACCCTACATTCATGAACCCAGAGTAATAAGACCCGCCTCATATTCAAGAAATCCATTTCATAGTTTGCAGCAGCTACAACGTGAGGACTGAGTTAGCAGCACTGTGGCTAACGGCTAACAAACTTTTCATCTAAACATGTCCGCTGTGTGGAAGTATTTTATACTAGAAACACTACAAAGCAAGACAGCAATGTGCAATGTCTGCAGAGCAATAGCACCACAATAAACCGTGGTAAAGTTAGTTTTACGTTGGACATTCGAGCTCCGTGGCTTCAGCGGGGCGCTGCTCTTGCTGAACCCGTAGCAGGCAACTTGATCCCGGCCAGCCGCGTCCAATTTGCCTCTCTCAGTCTGCACGTCTCTGAGGAGGAACAGACTGAGCTTGGCTGACCAAAATTAGATTGCCCGCCCCCGACTGAACAAGAAGAAGACATCGCTGAAGCCTTGGAGCTCAGAATGGTTACCGAGAAGTTGCTAAACTTCATCATAATTAATGACCAACCACTATCAGTTGTAGAAAATTAAGGATTTCTCAGCTTGATACTTGCAGCCAAGATACAGTATAGTTTACCTTCCAGGAGATGTTTATCAGTACAACAGTAGAGAATCATAAAAAAAAACACATGATTTGAAAATTACAAGAAAATTATATATATTTAAAAAAAACGAAACAAAAACAGCTACATTACAAAGTGATGTAAAATACTAAAAAGAGGAACATGTCTGTTGGTTTATGCCATGAAATTAGCTGATGTTTAAAGCCACTTAACATTTTATTTTATTTTATTCATTTATTTAAAAGAAACAAAATAAACAAAACAAATTCACCAAAAAGAAAACACTGAATGGTCTCCAGTTTCTCCTATTGTTGCCAACCTGTACATGGAGGAGGTA